CTAGAATTTGCTCAATATACCTACAAAAATAATTTAATGTTTAATGGAATTTATGTTCAGAACACTTTGATTGTGAAATGAATATAAGATAATGGTTCTCAAAATATGTACTACAATCTTATATTAATTTCTTTGTCGAAATCGGCGATAAAGTTATTAGCTCAATAATCATGTATTTGAAGGCGCAAATTTTGACGAGATATTCGCTATTCGAGTATATCGATTCTAATACACGTATAAATTGTGTAAACACGATTTCGCGCTCATTTTAATCAAGAAGATCACTCGGGACCATTTTCGAGCACTATATACGATATTTACGACACACATATGCTCTCTGAATTTCCGTATATCTATTGCACTGAATTCCATGGCTTTGCCCGATGCTCATGTCAAGCGATGACAGAAATTGGACCTGTCTCTGTTTTGGAACAGCTCGATGTCAAAAATAGAACATCTGATCCCTAGTGCTCCGACCGCTGATGACGTGATAGAATCGCAAAGAATTTCACACTTACACGCGCATCGCAATCAAAAGTCATCGCGATATTAGCCTCGCTACGTTTTTGTAATTCAATGCAAACAATACGATTATTTTTAATCACAAATTTTGCTGAATTATGAAATTCTCAAAGAATTCCCAAAATAAAGTCTCGTGTTTATTGAAATACGTATAGTGATATTTATATATAAATATTTCTCACTTGTTACTATTATTTCTGAGTATATAGCTGTTTTGTGCAAGCACCTGTTCTGACAGAAACTAAAACGATGCAAGGCGCACTAGACGGTCACACTACCGTGGCTTTCATGGTTGAGTCAACGCGAAACACTTCCGTTTGACGAGGACCACTCCGTCGGCCGAAATGCATGCGTGCTGATTCACCCTATATGCTCTCCACGCAGAGATACCCCTACCACGCCTTGCAGCCGACGAAAATATACCGGGTGTGCGTGATAGACTTCAAAAATTCTTACATAATTCAAGATTGCAGTCATTTTTCATGTGACATAAAAAATGTTCGAAAATTATAACGGAGAAATAAAATTTAAAATAGATTTTCTTCTTCGTCAAAATTCGTCTTTATCTATTTATATTTTCGAAAAAGATTTTACATAACATTTCGAAGAAGCATGTAGTTTCGAATCGCAAAGCATAAGGGATGCACCTAGGCGGCTCAGAAACCGTAGAAAAATCGTAATGACATTAACACAGCTGCATCGTGTGTCAATGTGTCAGTACGTTAATGACATGACATGGATTTATTATAATTTAAACATACAGCGGCGGCGCGCATGCGCGCAAGCACTTCTACGATATTAATTATTATTGCAGCCTGTAAAAAAATTTTTATTCTCTGTGTAAAAATAAAAATATTGCGGCTGCAGAAGCATTATTTTTAATGCAAAAATTTAGCAACATCCAACTGTTTAATTTGTTGGAATAATTAAGTGCATCCTAAAATTTTTTAATATTTCTCAAATAATAATTCTTAAATAACTTTAAATAAATACAGAATATGGGCGATTGACATCAATAACAGCAAACGCGGCAAGTAAATTAGACAATAGCAAATTGTGAGAAATTTTTTTGGAAATAATTAAATTCTAAAATGGTCGTTTGCATTGTCGAGAAAATAAACAGTGCAGATTCTGACGTATCTCTTACACTAGTCAGACCTGCATTGCGAAAGGATACGGACCACGTGGCCGGCTGGCTTATGGTGCCAACATGTGCTCGATGGTTTTTATAAAAAGATCACGCCATTTCACCAGCTCGACTCGAGCCTGCAGAAATTTCCAGTGGAATTTTAGCGTGTTTTCAGCGTGTACCGTTCGGCATTCTCGCGGCGGAATTCTCATTAAACGACGATAAAAATCAAGTTTATATTCCGTTAATTAATAGTCACGGATGTCATTAACTTTTTATTATCGTTCAGCGTTTATTATACCTCACGGTTTGATTCACGATAATATTTGAACATAGTTTGAACGTCGCACAGGACACAAGTGATAACTACATATGTGCGTTTTAACAATAGCACAATCGCACTTGTGAGTCACAAGATATGTAGATATAGAATACCTACATAGAATACGACAAGCACGAAGCTTAGAAAACAGTTTGATGACGAATTTTTCCCTACGTGGTAAATCATGTCAAAACTTTATACTATCTTACTAAAGTTTTCACCGCAGGAATGCGCGATCTATCACTTTTCTCTTCAATTTAATAATCGATGGCAATTTGTTATTTACAATAAAACCTGTGGAATAAAGAAGCATTCGTTGGATTTTTAGAAGTGATAGAAAATAAATTCATTAATTTAAAGTGATTAAATTTTAAGAAAGTGAATTATGTTATTTTATTATCATCGTTATATTATTATAAAAATAACGAAACAGAGTGGCGGAAAAAAAAAATAGTTAAAGAACGCGTATTCGGAGAAAGATTTGCGAGTAACATATAAATGAGAATTGATTTGCATCGTAAGATACTGTCTAATTTCAGCTCTGACCAGCAAGAGACCGTATTTCATTGGTCACGGCATTTCCGCGAACGGACTATGGGGACTACCGTGTAGATAAAGTGACACATTAATGGCGGGTGCGAGATAAGAGAGGACAAGAACTAACTCTTCGACTTCCCGGCATATGATGTCACGGGATGTAGTGCAACGTGGAAGGAACGTTTCGGGCGTTTCGAGTAAGTTTTTGAGTTTATTGTTTCTCTAATATTTTTTATTATCATGTAAATATTTATTAACTGCGAAATTGCAGTGTCTTGCTAACAGATATCGTATTTTAATTTAGTTATAACGATTAAGGATAAATTTCTGACCTTTTACAATGTCCTTTTTTACGCCTATGTTGGCGCCTCGAATCGTAAATTCGTGCTCGCGTTTGTTTTATCACATGTATGTGTCGCCTTTAAGTCACGTACAACGAACGTGTCATGTTTCTCTGCGAAATCTATTGAAAAATTAATTCAGAAAAGTAGGTTTACAGCAGCTTGAAGAAAAGTGTACTCAATCTTGATAAATATTAATTACAAACTGCCATTTGCATTATTCTTTTACTCGTCCTACTTTAAGATATAATTTTCCTAGCTATCAAAATTACCGATTGAAATGATTTTTTCTCATGAAAAAATAGAAGGAAAAGACATAATTCTTTTCGAAAATTTTGTTTAGCAGAATGAAAAGTTTTCTAAATTTTTATATATATATTAATAATATAAATAATATTGGATTATCCTTTATTTTGATTATTTGTTATTATATTATTTCTCTTACAACACTTCTAGATTTATTTTGTGCTAACGATGACGTAAATCGCGAGAGCAGAGAACGAAACATGGTGTGTCACCCACTCACTTTCTCTGCCTTCGGCACTTATTTGTGCATATAGCGCATTTTCCTTCTCCCGCAGTGAAGCTATTGTTGTTCCTCGAGCAATATCGATTTTGCAAAGATTGAATTTAACGGAACGTGGCTGTGAACGAGGCAAAAAAAAACGCTTTTGCATCATCTCATCGGATAAATATTTTTATCTCGCTCATTTCAGGCGGAATTTATTACGTGCTCACGAATATTTGTTAGTGAAGAGCGGTAGCGTTTCGCGACGTTATTATCTCTTAAAGACTTCTTTATGTCGCGTTGTCGAGACAAGAATAGAGTTCGCGTGCGTAAGACGCATTTATTTTTCACCACGTTCGAGAATACACGTGTTTCGACGAGTTCGGAAATCAGGAGATTGTTCTCCACTGTATTCATAAAATAATACGCTATCATAAAGTCGTGCTGCCATTATCCTTAATAGCGCAGAGCGCTTCCTTGATCGTTGTATCGGAAAAGCAAGCACTTTCGACGTAAACTTTCTCGCAGTTCGTTTAGCCGATCCGATTAAACCGCTGAAAATCCCCGGCAAACCTGCTTCACTGGTAATTACGATGAGTTGTGCTGCACTTAAAATCATTTTGTCAAATGTATTTAAACGGTGCTTCTAAAACGGCATGTTAATATTTCCGCGGCAAATTGCATGGAAAAAAGCGCACGATCAAAGAAAAGAAAAACGGTAAGAATTTATTACAGCCGGTAATAACGTCCATATTTATCGAATCGCGTTCGTTAAGTAGCCGTCGATCTTTTCGTGTTAATCTGATTTATAGACGCAATTTCACAAACTTCTTATGCTAGAAAGAAGTTTGGAAATACAATTATTTGAAATAAAAAGATGTTAGTGTAATCACAAATTTCGCTAACATGATATTAAAAAACATTTTCATTATGGATCTTGTGTCAAAATATTAAGTCTTGTATTATCTTTTTATAAGATATTGGATTTTTTACGCTATATCTGTTTGTTCGAATTTATTCGATGATAGTATTCGATAAAACATCAACAGTGGTTTATCAAGTATGACACTGATAGCTACGCGTCCTCTGATTGATACAATATGCGTTATTGTGCTTGCGGCTGCTATCACGGCACTTCCTATGTTTTTGCTGGTACGAGATATTGCACAAGACAATTGCGAAACGACGCGTGCCCCACTTTCTTGCGGAAAGAACGATTGGCGAAATCCGCGCTATTTTGAATATGCATAACAATTATGTAGATGTGTTAGATTTTTTCACATGCATAGAGACATTTTTTTGTTTAGTTAAAATGTCGAAAATCTACAGATAAAATAAAGAAAAATAATTTATCTGTATAGAACATGTGTGTTGTACAAAATTCTAAATATTATGTTATTATCAAATGATTTAATTTCGATCAGGCACAATTGAAAACTCACTGTCGCTGGCTTGAAGCAAATTACAAGTTTCCAAGCTTAACTTCGCAGGAAGATAATCCTGCGGCGAGATATCGCAACATCCGTGTCAGATATGTGTCCACCAATATGACGGAAACGCGCGGTAATAATTACTCAAGAAAAACTACGCGTTTGTTTCACTCGTAAAACATTAATTTTCTCTCTCAGTAAAGAGCCACTGCAAATACTGAGAATTTATTATCGCGACGGTGTCCCAAACGAATCAGAAAAATTCCTTTTCCAAGGAATGCATCGCGATGTGGTCATTGTTGTTAAGCTAGTTTATCGGCTGGGGTCATGCGGGCTTCTGCACTCTTTATTTTCGCACCGATGACTCACGCGAGTTCGTTACTCGCGAAACATCGCGTTTTTATGCAGCGAGACGCCGCAAGACAGACCACATCTCGCACACTCGAATGCATCAATTCAGATTAAAAGCATAGCTGACTGAATGAAAGATAAGTAGACGTCGACAATTTTTCTTCTTTTTGGAATCAATGTTTAAATAAAAATGTCAGAACTTCGACTTGAACTAAATCAATTAAACTTGAATTAATATTTTTACTCACTGATTGAATCACGGAGAGATTAAATATAAATTTTAATGAAATATTTCTATGTAATTTTATTCGGGATTAAATATTATCAATTCTTATCACATCCTTCGTATTATTTCGTTGCGCATCGTCAACGAAGATAGTTCTAAGCAACGAGGCACGACAATTAGCATTACATTGCAATATCTCTCGTGTCGCTTTTGTCTGTCCGAGACCATTGTATGCAATAGAATGCATCGAGTATTGTTTACAATGAGAAAATATTTTTACCACGTTATATGAATAGAAAGCAATGAAAGCATTGCTAAAAAACATTGATTTATAAAATTGAAGAAGAGAATATATTATAATATTATCATAAAAATGTAAACGCCGTATAAATAAATTGTTCGAAATACGAAATTTCTGGCAATATGCGCATTTTGTGTCAATTTTATCGATTTTACGTTGAACTTTTATTCACCTTTTGTTCCCTGCATTTTGTTATTCACTTTTACGATTCACCGAACTTGCTCAACTAATTGTAAGAAAAACTTGGCTCACTTAAATCGGCCAAAGAACCGTGTTCGAAGAACATACGATATTGCAGGACACCCTGTAGACTGCGTGTAGACCCTCGCACTTCGTATTTCGATCGTCGATTGTGGGAACGGATGCGCGAGAGCCGCGCCGGCGTTCCGCGACGCGCGCGAGTGCATCTATAATTGTCGCCGCGTGAAATTAACGCGTGAAAATTTATACGCGTGTCTCGCGATCGCGCGCGTCGGATGCCGGACGCGGAATGCGTGTCTCGCCGCTTGCCGGTATCGCGTTGAAAATTCGACGCTCTTTTGAGTCGACGGCCCGTTCTCACGTCGGGTCGCGGGGATAAAAGGGGCTCTGTGCGTTCGGGAATTCTTGCCCGCCCTCCCACCATCTCACTGCACCACGTCGATGCCGAGCTCTTTGACATCTCTCTGACGTTCCGTCGGCTCCTTCGGCGCTGTAGAAAATGAAAGTGCGTCCGCCTGAATGCGCGCCGTCTCTCTGTGCAACAAGAGCCACGAATTATTCGTCTTTTGCTAATTACCGGGGGGAGTTCTTCCAATTTGTCTCGGGGCACGAAGCTCGTTAATCTCGACGCGACTTTTGTCCCCCGTCGTCGAATACGATTGAGAGTCAGCGCGAGCGTTGTCCGCTCGCGCCTCATGGGGGAACGTGTCTGCTTGTAAACAGCTGTATTATTCGCAGTTGCTCAGAAGAGAAGCATCATCCGTTTGCGTGAATAGCTTGTGTCCACATGATGAGAAAATAAAAACAAAAGAAAAAGAAAGAATAGAAATAATTTGTTTTTCAAAAATTGACAAATACTGCACGAAACATTACACGCTCAGATAAAAATATAAATAAAAATAAAATTTTTCGCAAGTTTAAGTAACGTTAAATAACATTTTTCTCCGGTTCGTGTCTCCCGGAAAAAATTAAGAAAGATTCAGAAAGAGAGCTGGCTCGGCTCGGAATGTAGCGTGCGGGATTCCAGCCGGCCGGCTTAGAAAATAGCGACGCGGCGCGTTAAAGATTCCGAATGCGAATCGCACCGTTTTCGACCGGTCACGTTCGTCGATGGAGCAGCGTGGATTCTTGCAGGCAGGTAGGTAGGTAGGCAGGCCTGGCAAAAGAGAGAAGCATGCATATATACGATAGGACAGGACCGAACGCCGTTGGCTTTCGTCGGCGCGACCGCAAGGTAGCCGGCCAGACGGAGCGCACGTTTTCAGCACGCGCAGTAACCGTAAACGTGGCGGCGGAATCGCGAATTTCACCACGAGGTGAAGGGTCGCGGCAAGGCCGACGCGCCGATGCAACATCGGAAACGACAGAGAGAGAGAAAATAAAATAAAATACAAAATAAAATACGACGAAATAAATCACTACAATTCGCCGTCCAAAGCAGATTTCTTATCGTCAAGGGGCAAAAAAGATGCTTGACCTACTTTTAAACGCGAATAAATTTGATAAATAGACAGAAAAAGGAACAAGGAAGACGCTAATGGCAAGTCGGTTTTCTTGCCGATGTAAAATTCTTCGACCTTCCGCCGACATTCGCTCTCGATCGACGCTGAGAGAAGCCGGACTTATTCGCGTCGAATCTCGATGGGAGAAACGGTGCCGGAGTGGTGCAAGGCGACAGGGCAGGTCGTTATTTGCGGCCGCCGAGTGACCGTATGTAAATCATGTCCACCGAGAGGAGACTTCGGGAACACGATCCCGGCTCGTCGATTGCATCGCGAACTGTCGACGAGGAAGCCGTATGAAAGTAACTGGGACGATGATAAAGGTGACTCGCTTTCGACGAGGTCGCGCTCATGCGAGAGTCCTCGATCGATGTTGAGAAACAGACCGCGCTAATTCACAACAAATTCCTTTAACGTCGCATCTTCTCCGCTTGCACGCATTTTCCGAAGACACTTTTTCAATTGTTTTCGCTCGAAAATAGATTCAGCTGACTGACGCGCACGCATGCGTGAAATAACGGCGTGTTTTAAATGGAGAAACGTGCTGCGGAGCGTTCATATTTCACGCGCAACGACCTGATAATCCGCGTTCTGCCAGAACGGAGTCCGGGATGTTAGCGCGACTCGAAGATGCGCGAGGTGTTAGCGGGAGATATCTAATTTCTCAGGAAAGACAAGTTGCATCCGGCGCCGGAAGCCCGGAGAGACATATCTTATTCAGCGACAAGATAATTAACGGATATTTGAGGGACCGGAACGGTTGGATGATGCTGCGCGCGGCACGACTGGTCGAGCCCGGGCGTTACACGCGAGTATGGTACCCAAGGCGTAGAAAACGGCGCGCAATAAAATGCAAAAGTATTTTTACGATAACGAGGAAGAATGCCCGTTTGTTACGATCTACATGTATTTCCGGCAGTGTAGCGTGGCTTTCAATTATTATATTTTAAGCCTGTTGCGGTGAACTCGCAACTCCATGCCCGTTATTTCAGCGATCGCTATCTTAATTGCGCCGTGTGCTTACAGAATATAGGCAATTTTTTATAACGATGTATATTTCTTACGTTAAAATTTTGTAAATGTATATTCGCGTTTTATGTAAAAAGATTGTTTGGCCGATTTGGACAATTTTTAGAAATAATCAACCGCTATTGAGATTTGTAGACCTTAATTTATGAAAAATATTAATTTTAACAAACTTTGTATCGAAAAACTTCCTGAAGATCTCTTTTTTATATTAAAATTAATATTTGGGTCGAAAAACAAATTTCTATTGGAATCCAGAATTAATTAGAAATTTATTTCTCGATTGAGGCTCGAATAGAAGTAGCGCCTTAACAAAATTCTCCGGCTGTTTCCCCTCGAAATGTACTCTAGTGTACGAGCACTCTCACTATTATAGCGCCATAAACAACAATACCGGGTGTACGATGCCGACATCGAAGGAGAAAGAGGCACTTCCTCCTAAGAGAGTTTCTACTCGTCGCACACGTCGCAGTATCTTGCGCACCGCGGTGGCCAGTTTTTCATTTGCGGTGCTGTATTTACAAACAGTGCCATATTAATCATTCGACATGAAGTTCGCTTCAACCGCGTATGTATAATAAACGAGCTTTCGTCCCGTTAGCTCTTATGCGTTCCATTTTTTTCGCGAAATTGCCAGAAAGTTTAATGCGCCATCAGCGAGAGCTCACTGCCTTATTTTATTATCAACCGCGGAAAATTTTCGTTACTGTTATTCGACTAGGTGTTTGTTGACAAGCCAGATCTCAATAAAATTGTATATATTTTTATTTCTTCCGTAATACGTAGCACCGTTCGATCCAGATAAACACTTTTATCGCCGAAACTCAAAGCGCTAATTTGAATACGCAACGGCTATGTCTTCCCATTCCACGATCGCCACGTATATATTTTATGATGTAATTGTAAAAATTTTGTAACAAACATCAATATTATATAGACGCATAGCAGCGCCACAAACGTAACGGCCCATCGCGTATAATCGGGGATTTAAAATTAAAACTACACTCTTAGAATTCAAAAATAGCTCTGACAAACTACTCTTCTCGAGATTAAGAAGCATCTTCATATTCTTCCATTTCGTATATTTAAATCTTCCCTTCATAAACATTTAACTGTTTTCTTACTGCTATGGGCGTATATTACGCTCAATAAGTTACATTGGAAATACACTGACAAACAAATCGGCACACCCTGATCACGTTGCTTCAGAAAATATTAGTTGTACACTTAAACATATTTTTTAAAATGCTTATCTTATACTGTTAACTAATATTGTTGTCATTTATTTCTTAACACATGTAAAGTTTCACTGAGGTGGTTCGATTTTTTGTCAGTGCACTACAAACACATGTTCATCCTTCTTCAAATGATAAATACAATTTTTCTATCGAACTAAGCAAAAGCCAGAACCCACGGGGCAAATTTTCTCTCGAAGAAATCGAAGCGTGCATCCAGCGCGAATTACACGCCCTTTTTCAGAGAGCCGGCTTTTCGGAGCAGCCCTCGCGCGACAGGCACACTCGTCCTTCGGTACTCATTGTGGAATATACCGTTCACCAGCCGGGTCGATAGCACTCGTCGCTCGTCACGTCTCGCCTTTGCCGCGTGACACGTCTCGGAGGATGCTCTAAAAGAGCGCCGGATTCGCGTAATCGCGAGACGGAAAGAAGGAGAGAGCGCGAAGGTCGGCGGCGAGAGAGCGGTCGCTGGAAGGGCGAGGGCTCGTGGCGGCGATGGCGGGGTGCGAGGAAATCGATGCCGACGTCTGGGGCCCACGAGAGAGAGAGGAGGCTGAACCTCCCTCGGGCGAGAGGAAGCGGTCGCGTATTATAATAAATAAAGGGCGGACAAGAGCGCAAAGCGAATGTATAAAGTGCGTACTTACACTCGGCTGGTGTTTAGCTCGTGGCCGGCCGCCTCGATCGTCGGCCCTCTCTGCCGAAACTCGGGACCGCGCCGCCGTGCGTTTCCTCTTCGACGTACGTTACCTCCTCTCCGCGGTCGTCCTCGGCGTCGCGCCGGCCGGTGATCGCGGACGATGCACAGCAGGGCAACGGGAGAAGGAGAAGGTGCAGCGGGGTGATAACGAGCGGGGTGACAACGCCGGGTGATAACCGGGCGGTTTGGCCGCTCTCCTGCGCGTATCCCGTACGACACACCGCGCGACACTGTTCCGAGACGCGGAACAGGGAGATTACTATTTCGCCTGAGTGGGTGGAGGAGGGCGCTGGAGGAGGGGTCGCATCCGAAGAACGTATCCGAAAAAGGGGAGGCAAGCCAACCACCACCGCTCTCTGTCTCTCTCTTCCTCTCTTTTTCTCTCTTTCGTTCCGTTCGCGCGGGTGTCTCGAGCCTGACTGACACTCGGCTCGGCGCTCGGCATTTGCGGAGCCGGTCGACTGACCCCTTCGTTCTCCCTCTCTCTCTCTCTTTCTCTCCCTTTCCCTTCCTCGTTCAACCACCGCCGCATCATTATCGGTTTTCTTCCTTCCTCTCCTTCACTCTCGCTCGCTCCAATCTTGTGGCGGCGTTATCTGTCTATCTTTCTTCGCCGCCCCACCGACGCCCGTCGTTCCTCGCATATCGGGTGGTTTTCCTTCGCCGACGACCGCCCGTGCCCTTCGTCTCGAACGTTCTTCGGCAGGAAGTCGGAAATTAGATCGACACCCCGTATGTGGCGGAGCGCACGCGAGCGAGCGAGCGAGCGAGCGAACGAACGAACGAACGTTGTTGTGGTTTCTCGTAGGGCCCAAGGTGCCCATGAGATTCCAGCCGAGAGGCAAATATCAGCGTATTCTATTTGCCGTATTTAAATAATTCTGACATTACGGACTTGAGTCTCGCCATTGGCACGAAAGAGTTCTATTAATAAAGGTGAGAAAGCGGGAATATGTGTGTATCTTGGATAATAAAATCGTAATTTTGTTCGAGCCCTTCGACATATGCTATGATAAAGTCGAGAAATGTCAAACTAGAGTTTAACAAATGAGAGTGGGATATGCGCTTTGAATAACAAAACTGAATTTTTTTTTCTGAGACCTAAACGAGGAAAATCGAACCTATCGAAAAATCAGAGTACATTCTTTTTTATTGATTTTGTAAAGTATATTTTATGATCACCATTGCACGAAATGTTCGGTTGAATAAAAGAAGCGTGCGATTAAATTTGTACAGCTTGAGGGGTTTTATCAACGTAAATATTTAATAATGAATCATGCGGGGCTTAGTGGATTTTAGTCGCGTGCAATTTTGAGCGAAGCTTATTGTAATTTTGCATTTCATATAAAAACAATCAATATACATGATCTGCATCCCATAATAAATAGCATCCTAAATAAATAACGCAAAGTACATTTATCGATCATATAAATCAACTAGCGCTCTACTCGCAAAATTGTCGACAAATTATCGACAGAGTTAATTAATCCAATATTTTTATAATGTATAATGTATAGAAATTGACTGCATCGATTAGCGTTGCTCGCATTACTTGTATTTATATTATTATCAAGTATTTATAGAGACATATAAGAAGTCGATTCAACAATGCCGTGGCTTCAACTATTTCTAAAAAATACATTAGAATACTTTTAGATTCTTTTCTTTTTTATATTTATATTGACTAGAAACCTCGTTACGCTCGCCATATTGACTAAACAGTCAGCGGCGAACCGAAACAAGAACCCAGTGTAGGATTCGATCTCGCAGAATCTCAAATGTCAATTTAGCAGCTGTCTTTCTCATCGACCTTCTCCTGCGGTATGTCTTCGATCATAACGCTGTCCGTGGGGACCAGTTTGACCCGCTCGGACGGCTTGGCTTTCATCATGATGAACGGCAGCTCGGCCTCCAGCTCGCCACCGAGAGCACCCAAGTACAGCTTGACCTTGACGGCGTAGGACACGATGATGCCGAAGGGGTCGCGCACGTCCGGCGAGGTGAGCAGCGTGCTGGACGCGAGCTCGCCCTCCTCCCGCTTCATCAGACCGTCCAGCGCGATACCGCGGCGATTCTTGTTGCTCTCCAGACTGGGCTTCAGATAGAGCACCTTCTGCAGATTCGAGCCGGGATCGATCGGGCAGCCGTCTTGCGTCTCGACCGCGTCTATCACCGTGCGGAACTGGCCGTTTTGGAAGATGACGACGTCGATGCCCTGCTGCACCAGCGCTTTGATTTTCTTCACCATCTTGTTGCTGTTGTTGCGCACGCACACGTTGATGGCGATCGTCTCGCCGTGATGGTACAGCTGCTTGTCGAGGGTGACCTCGAGCTCCAGCTCGCCCGGACTCAGCAGGAAATCCTTGCGCACCACCGTGCACGGCTGACGGCCCTGTTTCGTAGGCGCGTACTGAATCTTACGTATACCCATCAGCACGGTGCTGCGCTTGTGGGTTAAGTCGGTCTCCGTATCGCCGCAGTACACCTTCACGTAGTAGCTGACGCCGCAGGGATCGCCGGTCTCGTTGGGACCGGGTTGCAGGGTCACGCTGGACGGCGCGCACTGCGGGAACGCGAAGGTGAACGGTATCGCGTTCGAGCCCAGCTTCTTCAGCAACCTGTTCCGGAGATATTTTTGGTCTTATAATTGATTTGCATTACGATGTGCGTTAACCTCCTCCACCGATGAGAAATCTACTTCAGCCGTTTATAATTTGATGCCTCGAGGAGTTTTTCTCCCAATCAATTTCTATCGATTAATTGATATTAAAAAAAAAAAAATAATAAATATTCCCGGTTGAAAATAACGACTCATCCTGTGTTCTATGTTTTCTAGGTTCAAAAATCGTTAAGAGACGCGTCCTGACCTGTCTTGCAGCTTGGTAGGATTGGAGTCGGGCTTCTTAATCTGCGGGAAGATCTGCTCGGATGCTAAGTAGAGATCTTTTTGGAAGTTGAGACCCATCACCTCGTCTTCTTCGCGGCCGTACCGGAAGCTGCACATCAGCTGGCACCACACCTTCCTGCCGCTGTCTACGTAATCCTGACTGATCAGGACCACCCCGTCGATCGGCTCGGTGCCCGACAGATAGTCGATGAAATCGCGTTTGCCCAGGTAAACGGCGAGCTTGCCGTTCGGCGAACATTTTTTGTAGACTTTGAAATTTGCTACCATAGTGAATTTTTTTTTCTTCTCGTTCGGCAGACGACTGGATCGTCTGGCAACGGGTCGAGTATTTATATATGAGGCGACTACGGTGACGCATAATCGATTTCTAGGGCTTCTTAAGACGCTTAGCGACATGGTTTAGCGTTTAGGTCGCACTCATGCAACGGCTTTCTGCGTTTCTGAGATAATTACGCAGTGTAGATTATTCATGACGCGAGAAACATTGCTTATATTTTCGATTGTGAATAATTTAATTTTGCGATTTTGCTATTGTGTTGCAAACAAGATGATTTTATCAGCGTGTCCTCTTGCGTAATATGTTTTACGTATGTTTTACGCCAACGTAACTTCGGGACTTTTATCACTCGATTGATCTTCGGGCTTCTTGGGCTTCGTTTCGTCGTTCAAGCCAAATGTCTTAAGCAAGCATTTCTGTTCAGTAAACATATTGATGTTTATTTTAATTTATTTTTTATTGTAAATTAGTGTTCTTTTATTCAGTTACATATTAAATAAAAAATATTATTTCCAAAATAAATAAAAAGTAGAATATTAGATCAGTTGTATAATTCCACTTTTTTTTAAATAATAGAAAGATATTTATTTATAAAACAAAACTAGTTATTACAAAATAAAATAAGTAAAGCAAATAATCAAGTTAAAAGGATTGCAAAAAATATATAAATGCCGATAGAAGTAAATCTTTATGTATTAATTTTTTGAAATCTAAATCACATGATTTAAATTGTAAATTGTTCAGTTTTGAATAAAATCTTTTCTAAGCGAAAAATGTAGATCTAATCTAAAATAATCAATTGTGTATTGTTCAATCGATAGTGTACAAAATTTGTGTTATTTCGACCTGATAATGTAGGAAACTGACAGTGTAGCGATAGGTAACAATGACAAGCAACGACAACAGCGACATCACAATAACATAAGCAGTAGTGTGCAGTAGTGTGTTATTTATATTGCAGGAATAATACACTATCTCAGTCCTAGAAGTTTTTGGAGCGATTATTTTGCAAAGTGAGACACGTGAGAGTACTGCTCGATGGACAAAAATGTCGAAGGATTCAGATCACTCAGATGTCAGTTTTAACGCGGTGAGTTTGCTGTCAAAATTGTCAATACATCGATATGTTTCAAATATTGCTTCATTATAAATATTATGACCAGCAGAAAACGTTTTTTGTATCGTCATTGTAATCACGTTTATAAAGGCGTGACCTGTATAATATAATTGTTTTTTCATAATGTCGTGTTTTCTTTTTTAATTTGCATGCAAAATAAATTCATTTATAATAAACTATGTAAGGATATTTTTAAGAATTGCCCAATTTTTATATTGTAGATGAAATCAATGGCTTTAGCTGTACCGCCAGACTCGCCAAAAAAGCCTGTGAAATCTACAGCAGTGGTGAAATATTCTGCAGTTCAAACGCCAGCAACATACGCTCAGCTCCAATGCAACACAGACTTGAATCTTCCACCTAGCAACTGGCTGAGCAGTTCCGCGGAGAGTTACGGTTTGCAGAATGTCTGGTCTCAGAGTACAGGATTCTCCAGTTTTCGCATGGCGCACATGTTTCCCGATTGTGTTGGCGAAGTGGACGTGGTATCAGATGCAGAAAACATAAAAAAGTTACTTAAACTGCCTTACAATCATGGAATGATCTCGATGATGGTACATCGTATTGAAAACACATTGCTGCTAGATGACTTTGATATACACAAGTATCTGCTGAGGCAAGCTGAAAGTGACTGGGAATGGCTGAAGAAGTTTTTCTATGAACATATTTTTCAAAATCTTGGCGACAAGGAAAAACGTCTTTTTCATAAAGCATACAGTAGAAATAGTTTACAGCAAAGAAATCTAGTCTCTAAGTTTCTGTATCATTCTATAGTACTGGCGGATACTAACAAACAAAATGAGAAACCTCAATTACCTGTGAAAACGTTAGAACCCTGTTTACCTGAGCCAACACAAGAAGAGAAAGTACCTGATCCAAACTATAATCATAATTTTGCGAGAAATGTTGTATGGACATTCGAGAACATACAGATGCTTATTGGAACAGACATGCCGATATTCGGCGGTCAGACCCATCCATGTATAAGCTTACGTCTAAGAGACATGTCCAAGCCTATCAATGTTTTAACAGGGATAGACTATTGGTTAGATAATTTAATGTGTAACGTTCCGGAAGTGGTGATGTGCTATCATTTGGATGGTATCGTGCAAAAATATGAACTGATAAAGACGGAAGATCTGCCAAATATGGATGACTCAAAGTTTAGCCCTAAAGTGATCAGAGACGTCGCTCAGAATATATTGAGTTTCCTAAAGAATAACGCGACGAAGGCTGGACATACTTATTGGTTATTTAAAGGTAAATATTAACCTTGCTTCCTAAATATATGAAAAATTCAAACTATCTTTTTACTATTTTAAATACACAAGATTTGATTTATATATGAAATATTTTTTTAGGTAAGGATGACGACGTTGTAAAGCTGTATGATTTAACATCATTGTGCAGTGACGTTTCGGAAGAGAAAGGACAGAACCCCTTTACCGTGCCTGTTGCAATGTTATTGTACAGAGTAGCTCGCAACATGAAGTACTCTCCTGACTATCATCGTTATCAGAGTACAATTAGAATGTTGCTGAAAAATTGTGTTGAATTACTGGCCAGAGAGAAGTATCCGCAGATTGTTACATCCGCGCATTTCATGCTCTCGGATTTGTATATACCGTCGGACACAGATCCAGCTAGTCCAGGCTTATCGGATCAAAGCGACGAGGAAGACACCCATAGTGAATATAGCACGAATCAAGAGAACGAAAAGGAAGAGGAAGAACAGAAGGAGGAAGAGGAGACTTGCGCGGCGATTAAATCTTTGACCCTAGCTAACAGTAAGTAAGTCTTTGACCTAGATTCTATTCTCTTAAAATTCTCGTAAAAGCTAAGAGTCAATTGTCTTTGTAGTGAAGGAACAAACAGAACGCGAGCAACCAAAATATAAGGCGCCACCGATCTCTGGCACGATAGAAGAGAGATGTTTATCCGGATTGGAGCACGTTACTTATGGACTCGAGTGCCTTCGGTATTTTCCAACCGAGGACAACAGCGACGAGGAGCAAAAGAAAGCGGAGGAACTTGAGAAGGAAAAACGCAAGTATGAAGAGATGCATCCGAATGTGGCGAAACCTTTTCAAGCGATTCCCATGCCTTACGCCCCATTAAATCAGCAAAGCCAGGACGATATGCCGGAAGAAGAATCAGAGAATTATAGTCCCATACACAAGAAGAAAAATAAGCAAAAGAAGAAGAAGAACGAGAAGAACATTACGAAGGAAATAGCGAGCGAAAACGCTTTATTGTGCAAACCTAAGGTAGAGACACTACCCACGTGGCAGGCGCCGAAAAAGAGCGATAATATTTGCTGGCGCGCTCACTTGAAAACGCTGTTATACGAGAAGGCTTCGTTGATATTTGCCGTGCTCGCCGAGAAAGAATATGTGAATAAGAATTACGGCGCCTCTTTGCGATACATGCTGGCAGTATTGTACTGCCAAAAGATACTGGAAATTTTCTGTGGCGTAAGGAATGACAAATCGATCAGTTATCTGTTAGGTCGCGCAGGAGATTGTTGTTTTATGACCGTGCAGGATTGGTGCAACGTGGAGAAACATAAGAAAGATTACGAGACGAAGAACGAAACGGAGGAGAAAATAGTCGAGGAGTTATTCAGTATGGAAGACTTGGATATGAGTAAATATCAAAATACGCAAAACTTTACGATGTAAGTAGCATTAACGATCGTTAACGATGTGTATTTTGTTGCAGACGGTGCCGAGTTACTACCGAAGGGATTGGAAAGTCTAGAATCTACTCTGGTCTCCTCTTACAAATGTTACGAAAAAGCATTGTCGCTAGAACCGATAGATATGGACAGAAATAATTTGCTAAGGCGATTAGGAAACATTCATAACGAATTGGGTGTTCTTTACATGAACCAAGCGGGATGTATGTAATTATTGCGCATTTGACAGCGAAAAGTGGCGCGAATACATATCGCACACTAATCGAAAAACTAACTTCTTACAGCTCGATACCAGCAAGAAAATCAGACTGAGGAATCATTAAATTCCGCGGACGTAACGGCACTTCTAACATGTTCCTTGACTCACTTGGAGTCCGGCGTTAAAGCCTTCGAAACCGTCCATGACGAAGCGAATCTCGCTCTTTTGCATTCTAATACCGGCCGACTCATGCGGCTCTGCGCGCATATGCACGGCAAGCAAAATACGCAGGAGCGTCACTTTTACAATAAGGCACTCGCGAGCTATCAGAAGGCTGTGCAAGTTCTAGGCAGTAGGAAAACGAATCCGTCGATATGGGATACCGTGACGTGGGACCTGTCGACAACGTTGTACACGATGGCTACGTTATTGCAAGATTATCCCACAGCCGGATATAAAGTATAATCACTTGCCGAATATATGAATAAATTGATAAATCTTTCGCGAACTGAATAATAATAATTAAATAATAAATTAATAAACAGATGTACTGATGAATTATTTTCATTGCAGACTGAGGTGGAATTGGAGAGAGAAGTGGTCGATATTCTTCAGAAGGCACTCAAGCATTGCGACGTGGATACGCCAGGACCACGGCAGCCGGTTTATCAATTCCGCGCTGCGATTATTCAGCATCGATTAGCTTCGTTATATCATCGCGTCTATCGAGAGTTCGAATCGGACGCCGATAGTGGCAAGAAAAAAACGAGTTTGCAGTTGTGCAAATTATATTACGACAAGGCGGCGAAGTTGTTACTCTCGTTAGAACAGAGTAGCGAATATTTGACGGTACAAATGGAAAGAGTCGCTCTGGCGGAATACCAAGCACGTAGTATGTTTACCTTCTCTGGCAGACTATTATTCTTTCATCGATTCGATTTTTTTTTCTCGACATAACAAGACTTCACGTTTGACTTTTCAGATGGCACAACTTTCAACAGCAAACTGAAAGCGTACCAGAACGGCTTGGATTTAATTTTACAATGTATACCTATTATGGAAATATTGTGCGAGCGAAATAATGCAGTGAAACAAAAGCTGAAGGAGATAGCTGATAATAAAATAGAAAATGACAGCGCAGAACGCGAGAAAGCGGCTGAGGAACAAAAGTTGATGGACGATGAGGAGAATCTCGTTATTTTGCTTGAACAGAGACTGCAGTTTCTTCTGCGATCAGTGACTAAACTGTTTCTCAGTAAAAGTCCCAGCCACAATAAAAAAGAGTACGTTATTCTTACATTCGTCTATTATTAAATTAAGTAAATATTAAATTATGGCATAATTTAACATGTAATCTTCGATAAAATTTCAGACACGAGACACTCGCTAATCTATACAAACAGTGTTATGTACGAACGTTGCGACCGGATACGATGTCTGGATCTACCTTAATAAAACACGTAACGGAGCTTTTACAAGAATTGGACTGTACGTTGAAGCAAGTGGAATCTTAATCGACGTGTAAATAAATTTTATATATATATATAAAATTTATACATACATACATACAGTTTATGCATATATATAATATATTTTATATATATATAATATATTTTATATATATATATATATATATATATATATATATGCAGTGGCGTACAAAATGTCACTGGAAACTTTTACACGCCACTGTATATATAAACTGTGTGTGTGTGTGAGAGAGTGTGTGTGAGTGTGGATATTGATGAATGATATTAATGTTGAATTTTTCGTAACTATGCAGTATGTATAAAAGAGAAAGTGCTGGTGTTTGTATTACCGATCTAACAGTGAAAATATATAGAACAAGAACTCTAATTCGTCAGTGCAGCTTTTTTATTCTAACGTGTGTAAATATAAAATATATATTTTTAAACTAAGAATAAAGAATGCGGAAATTTATTTCAGATGTAACGAGTTACTTCCCTAAGTAGATATTACGTTGTTTCATACGCGTTTCAAGATGGATAATATTTCAGAAGCCGAATTCTCAATGAATTAATTAGGTTCTTCCTCGACAGTCCTTATCAGGATTTAATAGTGCTCGATTTTCGGTGAGGGAACTTATCTGACGACAGGGTTGGATGTCGGCATGACATTTTAATTAAAATAAAGGCAAGATTGGAGGGCAAAGTTAAAGCCTAAGTTTATCGCCAAGGTCGGGGTTTCGTACGTGTTCTTACAGGCGTCTCCGTGTCTTCGGAAAGACGGATGGCGGTGTGAGAGTTTGAATGAGTCTCCACCCGGCCGTTGTGTGGCTTATATAAGTTTCTGATATACACGAGCAAGCAAGCGAGGTGCGCCCGGCTCGGTCGGGCGGAAACTCGATAAAAAACTCATTTATTAGAGAATCCGAGATGAACCGTTGTTGCGTGGCCGAGAGGCCGGTCGAAGTTGAAGATTAAAGGAAACCGAGTTCTGCTAAATCACGGCTGCGAACTTGATTGCGCGTATATCAGAAATGTTCACGTCAACGAGAAACTTGCTCTGAGCTAATCTTTTTTTATCAGATATCAGAAACGGAGAGATCTCTAGAAAAAAAAAAAAATAAATAAACGGAATATCCCACATAAAACATGTGTCTATGCTTTTTCTATAATATTTTTATCAGAGTTGAGCATTTTCGCGTAGTAATGGAAACTAACGTTTCATCTATGCGGATGACGGGCAATGCGTAATCTATGAACTGTAGCAATATATTTTTCATAAATTTTTGTGTAATTGAATACATGTTTTCATCTAATTATTGTCATATTTGTAAAATGTATGCATAAACGCAATGTAACATTGCTGGAACAATCGAGTGTGCAACAAGTAAGATGTCAGAAATTGCAAACAAGAGTTGAATAAAAAATTTTCAAATTGTAGCACAAATTAGATTTTGTGTGCGACAATGTTCAATATGAATTAAATTCATTCAGATTCAATATTCATTACTGATTAAGAAATAAAGCATTATGCTAATTTTATCAAAACGCTAAAAAATGCAATTCTACATCACTTTCGTTTTATCGCGATTGGATCTTAATTCAATGAATTAAACTGTATGATTTTATAATGGCAAATTTTACAATAGCGGGGGATTAAATTCACAATTCCGTTTCATCTTCTTTTCCGGCCGGAATCGATCGGCCGCGAGTCTAAGTAGATTTCTGCCAGGACATCCGACGACGTGCGCGCGGTATGCATATTCGGATAATATACTGCGAATTGTTGCGGACGATAGACAAAAGGCAATCGCACCGGCGCTTCGCCTGATTAATTTTAACGAAGGCACGAACCAATCCATCGCGTCGATGGCGGCGGTGGCAGCGGCGACGTCGACCGGTCGAAGATCGATGAACTACGAGCGGGGCGTCCGTCCGGCCCGCCGAGATATAACAATTCCAGCTGTCAGTCGCATCCCTCACGCTCGAATGGATTCGACCTCCCCCGGAAGAGAAGAGGGAGGACGCACCGGCAGAGCGTATGTCAAAGACAAAACAAAAGGAGCAGACGGAAGAGAATCGGCCGATTCGTTGTCTCCTTCCTGTTTTCATTTCCCGCCCGATCCTGATTTCGTACTCCGCCGTCGTCTGTGGTTTGACCTTTCGCAGATTCACTGATAGCGGTGGTTTAAACGGTCCCTCGGAACTCTGACTATTAAGAGAACTACTAAAAAGGGTCCTAAATCCTTCCGCAGATTTATAATTATTCGTTCTTTAAAACTGGTAATTCCTAGTTGATGCTTCTATAAAATATATGGTAAAATTTAGAAATAACTTTTTTTACTCTCCTAAAATAATAATTAAATAATCGTAAAAATTATTTTGCGCAGAAGATACTCTAAATATAAATTATTCTATCCCTCTTCTCGAAATTTCAATACGTCTCGGCCAGTGGGACTTAAATGTTTCTCCCGCTTCGGTGCAACCAGTAATACGAGCTCTGAATTCGCCGCTGACCCTTCCAAGCAATCTCTGTCTCATTCTCTCTCTCTCTCTCTCTTTCGAAATATCATCGAGATCGCGACATTGCGATTTCGGTATTGACGTTGCGCAACGTTGCGGTTAAATATCTGCCAGGCGAAGACGCGACCCACCTAAATCCACCACTTTTAATGGAATCTACTTGACGGGGGTGACAGGTGTCGCGGAAATGTGCACAGTGGAAAGTTCGGATATCGCGATTTATTAAAATACACACTGGTTTACGGAGCAGTCCGTTCGACCATCGGATCGACACGATGTCATCGCAAAATCATACTTTCCTAATAAAGACTCCTGAATTTGCGGAAAAATATCGAAGAGAATTGAACTCTGTGTCTCTTGATGAAATGGCATTTTTATCGCTAATGCCTTCCCGTGTTATTTCGCGCAGACCTTCCCCGAAACATTATTTCGGGAAATCCTGGTTGAATCCACGGATGAAGTCCTCGCAGTTTCGGGAAAAAATTCCCCCCCTTTTTTTTCTCCTTAGAAATCCAAGGTGGTGGTGTCGTGCGTTACCCGGGTAAGTCCGGGGATGGATCCTCCCCATTTGTCCTCGACGTCGCGCTCGTTATTTGCTCCATCTTCTGGACCTGGCGAAGGGATGTCCCTCCTCCTTTTCACCTTGCAGGAAGCCGTCGCCCGCAGCCGCCGCCGCAAATATTAATCCGCGAAGAAATTCGCTGCGAAATGCCGACCCTGTCCTTCCCTCCAGCCCACTCTCGCACGCTTAGCCACGCTACCCTTTCTGGATTGAACGCACGCAATTTATGGCCTTGTACCTTATCTTCTGCACGCTTTCGGGGAAAATGGTGGACGTGGTGCAAAATAGATGAGGCTGCACAAGAAGCGCTCAGCATTTAACTCTGTCTGACCCGTTTTAATTTTAAACCGCGATGAGGCCCATCAATTTCGAAATTCCATGGTTTTGCATTTATTTGTGTTATATAAATGTTTCATTAAAATCACATTGAAGTATATAAACGTCTTCGCGAACTTAAATGTATCAAATTTATAGAGAACAAACCGGATGGTGGAATCAAATTCTTTATGCTTCGATTGAAATTCTGTAAATACCATTTGTACACACTTTTAATCGTCATTTGCGACTTTTAATGAAAATATACCGTTTTCCCGCATAAACGCTCGCTTTGTATCATCGTTAAATTAACTCTAGTTCATCCCATTGAGTTCTTAAATATTTTCGCTGAATGAACGCACCCGAAGAAATAGCAAAGGGAGGAGCAGAAAGGTTTCGCCGACGAGTGGAATTTCGCGTGGAATCTCGAATTCACGGCTTGTCCTTATCCGACGCGGTCGTCAGCGTCTTATCTGCTCATATCAATTAGACTCTTCGGCAGCGGTGTCTCGTCTGTGTGCCGTCGGCGCATTCCTCGGCCCTTTCATCGTCGCCTTTGCCCATTCCGCCATCCATTCCGCCGTTGCCCTTCGACCTTCGGCTCCGCGACTATCGGTTCCTTTCCGCGCGATTGGTTTTTCTAAGGGAAAATATTTTCGGCGAGCCTAGCGTTCCAGGTCGGCGCGGTCGGCACGCGACCGCTCTCGCGCGCGATTGCATTTACGGCGATTCTCCTCGGTAGCAAGGCACTTCCGACGGTCGTCTTCTCGTCTCTGATGCGAGATTCGATGCTCGGAAGACCGTGAAATATGGGATTCGACAGAGTTTTTTGTAGATCGCCGGTAAGGCGATGCAAGAGTTTCATGCTGGCGCCGGAGAGATAAAGAGATTTTAAGGCAGCCGCGGAGATAATGTTAGAACTACGAGTAATAAATCTTATTTCGACATTGAAATATGTACAAAAACTTTTCACGCATTTTATAGCGATTGAGAAAGTTTTTCATAAACATTTAAATAGATAATCAAATTTTATTTGCGCAACACAGAGTAGAAAAAAATTTTTCCTCAGAGAAACAATTGTTTTTTTTTTTTTGTATTTTTAAGTATTTTAGTATTTTGACGATTTTAAACATTATGTATACACGAGTATACACGAGTGTCATGATAAGAACATATGTACTGCACATAAACATTTGCGGAATGTGAAGAAGATAAGATACGTGTTTGTCGCATGTCGCTACGTCAATTTTGCCCGGAGTTATAATGTTTTAAAACTCCGGCGCGAGTGCACCGTTTATAACTGATGCGTGCGTACGTGTCGCGCGCGCTGCATAATGTAACGTAATTATTACGGTATTACGATCAGCCGGTCAACTAATTACTAGTAACGAGGATAGGTCATCGCTCTATAGGTTATTGACCTACACGAAACACGTGGTTCCACCATCAATAGTTCCATCATCAGATCAAATCGACATAGATCGATTTCTCAAAGCAGTTGCGACCGGCCCGTTGTCGCTGATATATTAAATTTATCGGTTAGAATGCACTCATTTGCTGGACGCGTGATTTAGGGCGCGAGACACGATGATATCTCTCGTTACGGTCTCGCATTTGCGATGAATGTTTTTGGACATCGTGTATGTACGTGAATAATAGTGAAACTTGGGTGTAATCTATAAATACATTAATCAATGTATTTGTGAAACGGCCCGGCAAGATGTTAGCAATATTGATAGATTTACAGCAAACTTAATGAAATTTGCTGTCAATTTGCCAACATTGTTAATATTTGGCTATTTGAGAGTGAGAAAATTTTAATATTATACTTGTCGTATTGTTGCGTAATGTGTGAATCGTTTTTTTAATACGGCTATACAAAAGTGCGAAATAATTGTTAGAGTTATGTTTATGTTTAGAATTGAATGAAATATTTCTTGAACAGCTCATTTTTTACGAATCCAAAGTATGTCGTACATGTATATTTAACTCGCACTCTGTATTCATTCTCTAACACTTCTATCGATAAAACAGTATTGTTCTATAAATCAAAGAATAATCAAACGTTAAATAAT